GATGCTCCTAGTTTAATTGATTTTGATATTTCAGTTTTAGCTTTTAAAATCTTTAAATCAATAGCTTTATATAGAGTTTAACAGTTCTTTTATAGTATCAATTACATTAGAATAAGTCATAAAGGCTTGTTTTAAATCTTCCACAACAATTTCAAAATTCTGAACCTTCTTTATTTTCTTTGAAAATAATCAATTTATATTATTGTTTTCCTCACTAAAAAAAATTAAACAAAGGGAAGCCATGTCTTACATTATATATGTACATTACAGTCTTGACAATGAGTAAGACTGCAGTGTCAATTCTTTAATCCATTCAGCAATATATGTTACTGCTTCAGAAATAAATGTAATAAACCAACTGTACAATTGCAGTGCAAATTGCATATGGAAACAGCAAGATAATATCTTGAACAATGTGTTTCATTCAATGGCAATATTTATGTAAAAGACTGATAATACAGTACATTTCATTTTCAACATCCTTGTTTAGCCTTTCGATGCTTTTCTAATGGTTCGATCTGTTGCAAGAAAAATTAGGAAATTGCGTAGCTGTTAATACAAACTTTGTGTTCTTGGAAAGCTTCTTTTGGTGGGAAAAAAAAGAGCCCAGATTAAAGGAAGATAGTAGAGGCATGTACAATAATATGAAACCTCAGCGTTTTTTTAAACTAAATTAATATTACTAATTAATGAGTTGTTTAAAAGTAATGAAAACTATGGGATAAAAACATGTATCAACGATGCAGTAAGAAAATAATAATCATCAGTTGGTTTATATTTAAAAATAATCTTGCTGCTGATCATATAGATACTGCACTGCATTAAATGTAAACTGAGAATAGTCACCCTGATTGAGAATAGAGTTACTTAAGATTAACAGAAATAAAGATGCTAGCCATATAAGCACAAAGAATAAAAGATGTATTCATGAATGTAATATGTTTAAATTAAATAGTGTTAATAAAATTATATCGTTCAAAATAACACTTTTAAATCAGATCAATATGCTTCAAGTTAAAAATTAACTATCATAATTTTTCAAAAGAAATTTTTGAGTTTTCATATATAATTTGAAGGCCTCTAGTAGTCATTCACCTAAGGCAAGTCCCTCACCCTTTTCCAGTTCTGTACATGAGCTAAATGTGCTTAAAAAAATTTAATAAGTCAGAACAGTTTTCAGTGTATTTTAATACACTAAAAATCCTTCTATTTTATTACTGTGTTTCTAAAATGTAAAAGAAAAAAAGTCACAATACTCAGAGTTCGTACACATTTCTGCACACGGAAATTAAGTACTTTCAAGGACCATTAATGAAAAAAATTAAGACCTATGAACAACCTGGGAACTGAATAAATTCAATTAAAAACATTATCTATGCCTGAACTTCAATTTTGTAACGCCATCCTAAAAATAAAATATAGATCGGTAAGTAAGATGCATTATTATTAAGCATAGCTTAATTAACATTATAATTAATACGTTTGAGAATAAAATTAACTTTATGAAATTTATCAAGTAGCATTAAATATTTTACACTTATAATAATTGGACATATTTGAAAGAAGATAAGTGGCATTTTATTTATGTTTAACAAATAGTTAGCTTTATGTTTATTATTAATGTCTCATTTTGTCACATACTTAGACTAGAGATTTAATAAATAGTAACAGAACCTGCTGATCAAAACAAACCTGAGAGGCCTGATGTAGGCAAGGGGCAAGTTCTGAAAGTTAGCTGGGCTCTGTCTGAAGCAGTTATGTCAGAATTTCATGTAAGTCAGCTTGCGATGATAATATACTTTAAGGTTCTAATAACCAATACAGCATCAGAGGTGATAAGTTATTTTTCAGTATTTTAAGTGTCACTAGATGCAAAGAATAAGTTTTTCATAAATTTTTACACTTTTGTGTTTTATGTTGTGATCACGGTAAGGGTTAATGAAAGGCAATAACTCGCTTTAATATGCAGAGATAATTTTTAAGGGTAAAGAGTTAGTTACAAGTAATTAAATTTTATTTATTTTTTAACAAATAAGCCCTAGTAAAATCACAATCTAATGAAATTTCACATTTTAAAATATCTATAGTTTATGACATTGATTCTAAAACGATATTAGGATAGATACACATTAAAAGCTACGAAAACATTTATGTTTCGTAGCAACAGCACTCAACAAAATAGTTATGTGTCTTTTTAATATGAAGCCTTCCTAGACATTTTGGGTAATTTATATCGATTTCCTTCTCTTTAACCATCTTTACTAACAATTAGAAATTTGTCTCACTATGCAAAAGAATGTCCTCACTAGTTTCTGCGTGTTTTATCTCCTAACCTGTCAACCTCTCCATGAGGGTTTATTTGATCTGGTAAAAGTTAAATAGTCCAAAAACCCTGGCAGTTGTGAAGCAAATTATCGCTGTGTCTGAAAGTAACTACACAGTCAGACAAAGGTTTAAATAAGCTTCTTATTTAAAAAGAACTTAGAACATAGAGACATGTTTTTATGCTAACAAAATCAACTGCAGCTCATAGTGATGTAATTAAACAAGAAGAGTCAAATTCAAACTAAAAATATCAACTAGCGGTCAAAGACTATACAACTTAATTTCATTTTAAACTGGCTCAGTAACTCTATCGTCATAACGAACTCAAATGTCACTAGCGGTAATGCAAAGACAAATAACTGCAAATTATCAGAGCTGGCAGGGAGCAAGTGGAGGTCAGAAACACTCTTGTCTTACACTCCAAAAACCTCAGTTTAAAATCTGTCTAAGTGATTTGCATTCTGGTGAGGAAATAGAAATGGGAAATTAGAGTAAAGGCTGAAATTGTAACAATTGTTAAGTCACATAATAATAACTGTACATATCTTTGAAGAATAATTTTCTTTCTCTTTACGTATTCAGTTTCTTTCTTCCCCGTTTCCTTTTCATTTTAGAATTTTTGGATTTAATTAAAGATTTCTAATATTCTAAATAAAATAAATGAATTTAGAATGTATAGAAAAAGCTGCTAATTTTATTTCTTTAGTAATATGAACATTCAGAAGAAATATGAAATATAGATGATAAGTTCCGGTTACAGAGCTGATGTGGCATAATTTTCAGAATTTATTGACACACCGAGCAACAAAATCCAGAAATGGCAAATCTTTTAGCATTTAAAACAGGCACTGGAAGCAGAATTTAAGATCCAAAGAGACTACATCAGGTGGGAAAATGCCCAGTGCCAGCCGTGTGTATGATGCATTAAGACATATTAGATGAATCTTTTAAATTGTCAGTTTTCAATTTCTTTATCAGTAAAAAACATTTCTTTCTATAATGCCTGTCTATATGATAAGATTAGAAGCATTTCTGATATTCTCCATGCTTGTGTCTAATGAGAAGTAGAGAAAATAAAGGAAGATAAAAATGTTAAGAAGATTCTAGTATCAGAAGTAAAACTTTCAACTATAATGTTTTCACTGTTCTTCCAGACGTTCTCTAAAAAGTAAGAAATTATGTGTTAATACCATCGACACATTTTTCATTTTGTCACATTTTTCTGGAATCTTTTGTAATCGTCGGTCTATAAATCTTGCCTTCATATCTTTCTAAATTTTCCAAGCTGCAATGTCTAAAATCCTAAAGAAAAAAATTAACCTTACCAATTCCGTAACAGCATAAAGTCAGAAATATTTTGCCCCCCCCCCCAAAAAAAAAATGCAGGGAAAAAGGGCAAAATTAATTTTATAAAAAAACTAGGGCTTAATTTTTTAAAATTAGATGTGCCGGAGCCCTGTGGAACACCGTCAGGAAAGAGGAACAAAAATAAATGACTAATAAAATCATTAATAATTAAAAAATTAAATAATTATTAAAATAATTCACTAATTAATGCTTAAAATAATAAAATAGTGCAAGTTAAAATTTAAGAAAATATGAAGAGATAAATTAAAATTTAATAAGCATGGTTTTCAATATAATTTTATTTTATTACTAAAAATAAAATTTTCAAGATGTAATTTCTACTGAAAATTTTGCTCAGGTACATAAAAGAAGTGTAGGGCTCTGGGTAGAATTATGATTAAACCGCAAATCTAAGTACCACCGGAGCAGGGCTCCTGTGGGCCTGGTCGCAAATTAAGCTCTGGAGAAAACTGATGCATATTCTGAAAATTCTCAGACAATTACATGGGAAAAACTTACCATAAAAAATTTAAAATAGATTTTTAATTAATTTACATAGCTATTTTGCTTTTGCTAAGAAATATTTCGTAAAAGGTGCTTTACAGCATTATACCTTGCTTATTTTTCACATTAAAAAATATTGTATAATAAGTGGCCAAAATGGAACTTTATAATATGACAGCAAAAAATACAAATGCTTTATTTTAATGTTATTTCTTATATATAATTCCAAAATATTACCATTATTTAAATGAAATTTATCAAGGTTACAATGTTCTCAAAAAAATTGTTGAAAAATTCCCAGATCTCGGAAATAAAAATTTTCTATAGAAACTGATCTTAAAATCGCCAAAATGTTTAAAAGTCGCCAAATTTAGAACCGTTTAATAAAAAAATTCACATCCCCAAAAAGCGAAAAGTTCTTTAAGAGCTCTTCATTATAAAAAATGAAATAATTTCGAAATGCTTATGTTTCACTTCATGCTCAGAAACTCGAGTATCCCACTATTTATATTAGAAATAGGAACAAATTATAACCCATGAACCCATTCAAAAGATAACCATATTTAAGCATATTTGTCATATATTGTCAGCGAATCGGCAAAAATATTCCTCCAAAATATTAATTCACACTCAAAATGGCAGTCGTAAAAACAGACAGAAATTTCAGATGATTAAAATTAAGGACCTTCTGTTGATTTTGGCCAAAATTAAAGCCTTTTAAGGACCAAAAATTGATTCCAAAAAACCTAAGGACTTTCAAGGACTCTTAAGGACCGTACGAACCCTGATACTTGATGCAACCTAGTACATTAAAAAAGCTACACTCTTTTTTTTTTTTTTTTAATAATTTATTAAAATATAAATGTAACAGAAAAGAAAATAAAAATGTATTATATTCAAAACTTGATTTGGTATAAAATATTTTCTACAGCACATACATCAATCACAATTCTAAAAACAATACACACATGCATTTGGATACACATCTTTGGTTTACAAATAAAGCTAATTCATGAAATTAGACTGCACACATTCACAAAGTTATATGCTACCATTGGAAAAATTAAAGTTTCAAATTTGACTAATGAGATTCATTTCCCAATGATATGATATTTTTTTCCTTCAAACTTCAGTTCTTAAAACTTTGGTATAAATCTATATATTTAAAAATGTATTATGCATATCTAAAACTAGAATTCACAGACATATATTGCACAAGTTTATAAACACTAAATGCAGTGTTTTTATTTGCTTTTAAATGATTCTAAAAGTAACTGCAAAATTCACTTGAGTATATAGCATCTGATCACAAAATTCACTTTCACCTCAAGTCTCATTTTATCTGTTTGAAGGCTTAACATGAATTTCTAACATATTAAATGCAAGTATGCACTATATAATTTCCAAATGTCGTTTCAAGGAAAGCACAGTCTGGTGATGAGCATCAATTAATTTTTCCATGTCGTTAATTAAGAGGAAAATTGCCTCATTTTTAAACTTTGATCTGTGGCTGTTGGAAGCCATTTCCTGGCTTGTACATAGGAGCTTTTTGAAGCTGGCATGAGTTTGTCTGAAATATATAAACAATAATTAAGAATCTATACTGGACGTAATAAAATCTGATTTGCATTATTCAGTCAACAGTACACTGGGGGAAATGTGAGAAACTGGTACAATATAAAAATTGTATAACATGTATAAGAAGTGATTAATATATTTGTCACCTTACAGACATGATGTTCAATACCAATCAATGTTCATCCTCTCTTTGGTCACATTCAAAAGGGGCTGTGGCTGCCATGAAACAGTTCTCGGAATGTATATTAATTTCAAGAACTGTTTCAAACTTTAAGGAACATACTCAGAGAACAGATCTACACTGAGCAAAAGAAGGTGGGGAGAAGGCAATTCTATTTCCTCATTCGAGACAGAAAATTAAAATAATTAAATTCCAATTTTTATGTGATGAAGATAGCATATATACAGAGTGATAGTATCCATTCAGACGAGCAATAATTACCATAGAACATAGTTTCGCATTCCACTCTGAGAGGCAGAAAAGACGAATATTATAATTCCAATCTGAAATTACAGGAATGTTGGGAAAGCGAATGAACGAGACCAAAAGTTGAGTAATAAGATTTATTGTTCAGTGAAAAACTCACAAAAAATGCTCAAAATGCCAACCACGCGTGTCACTGCACAGTTGACATCAGCGGAGGAATGACTAGCACATCCTGTCAAAGATTCCTGGTGTCGTGTTAATTTTGTCCGCGGCAACAATGATTCTCACCACAAGATCTTCAGCCGAGTCCACAGGCATCTTGTACAGTAAAGATTTCATGTCCTCCCAGAAGAAAAAGGTCCAGTGGGTAGAGGTCTGGTGAACGAGGAGGCCAAGCCACAGGTCCACCACATCCAAAAAAAAAAAAGGTTGGATGACTTAGAATCCGATGAGTTGGAAATTGCTGTTCATACAATCTTCGTGTCCATTCCCTTTGGTTCACCCTAATGTGAGGTGAATATCTCCCAATTCCTCTTACGAGTACTCTGCCACAGCATTCACGAAAAGTTTTGGACAATGTTATCAAGGACACCGTTTGGTAGGATTGGCTTTCTCCAGAACCAACTAACAGTAAAATGTTTCTTCTTCTCAGTGCAAATTTGCATATGGTTAATTCTTGATAGTCTTGGGAGATAATCTCCTTGTTCTTCTTTGATGCGTTTCTACTTTCCTCTTTTCTGCTTCTCACAGTGGAATATGATCCTATGTTCTATGATAATTACTGCTCGTCTGGATGGGTACTATCATCCCTGTTAATTTACATATCCCGGCAGGTACGCAACGAAAGCTCTGCATGCTGGGAGCAAAATTTAGAGGTGCCAGATTCAGTCAGTAAAGTTACCGGTGCATGGACAAGTACATTATCCAATGATTTTTTGTCCAAAAGGCCTTCTTCATCCACATATTTATAGTGGTAAGAAGAGAGCAGTGCAAGTCTAAAGATAAATACTAAGTCTTCAGATTCTGTAACCATGGTTCTCAACACATACTTACAATTACAGAAACGTTTTAAATGGCTCAAAGATTCACGCTTAGGTAATTTTAAATTTAAAGAAATCAATTTTCTAAAAATTACAAAACCTAATTTCTTATATTTCTTCAATCCCTAGACTTATATTTGGGAAAATTTTATAATCATTGTAAAATATAAAATAAAACAGTTTTATTTCTGTATGATAAAAATTGACCAATATATTTGATATTCAAATCAGGAATCATATTCATGGGCTGTACATAAACTGAAGATTAAAATGTTAAATTTTATATGTAACTATAAATAAAATATCACTAAGAAAAGGTTTTTGAAGTTAAGAGATTATATGATGAGCAGATTATTGTGAAAAATATTGATCAATGTAATTTTATTTTCAAAAAGGAGATCTTATTCACAGAATCTTTCTTGCATGTGTTCTAGAAAACAGTAGGAGAGTTCATTATTAGCATGTGGCCAACTTGAATATTATTTGCAGTAACTAAAAATGAAAAACATTTATCATTTAATTAATTTTTGCACGCTTATCATATTATGATTTTAAAGTCACAAAACTTCAGGAGAATATTAACAATATATTTTTTAATTTCTAAAACTTACAAATTACTTAGGCCAAAATTCTTTTCGCATACCAAATGTCAAAAAACTTATTTAAAAAGACAATAGTAATTCACAAAGGAATATCATCAAATGGCATTCAAGTAGAAACAATCTTGAACTATCTGTATTTATTCATTAATTGACCTCCCAATGCAAATTCAAACCGATATCAAATACTGCAAAATTTGAAATTAACTATCTCAATCAATTTTTATTATACCGGAGTCAAACATTTTGTGTTTTATTTTTTACAATGAGTATAGAATTTTCTAAAAGCAGAAGGTCTGGAGGAACACGTAAAAAGTTAGATTTTGTAATTTTTAACAAAACTTTTTTTTTTAATTTAAAAATGTCAAAACATGAATTTTTGCATCATTTAAAGCATTTTTTAATTGGAAGTATGTCTACAACCAAGGGTTGTGAAAATAAAGGCCCAGTAATGACTTTTGTGAATACTGCATATATTTAACATAGCATCCATATATTATGTAATTCTTACTAATAAATTAATACATTCCTAGCATTTCCAACATTAGTAAAGTTTTTTTTTTTTTATATCATGCAACTTTTTTAAACATATTTTAAAGTTCTGACCTGGGCTTGGGAAGATACTAAAAATTATTCCCAAAGTAATCTACAGGAAACTAACTACCCCCACATAATAAACAACTCATATAATGAATATTATTCTGAAATAAATTGTGTTCATTGTGCCAGCATTAACGTAACCCAAAAATTAGTTTCCAACGTCTGTATACCATACTATTGTATCATATTTAATTATTTTATTACTTTTATCGAATTTAATAGTTTGAGCCTATGAAATTCATTATGTTTATTCATCTGTTATATGATGTCTTTATGATAATTCAAACTAATAAACAACTAAGAAAAGGCTGCTTTCATGATAAAGCTAATTTGTATCTAATGATTAGATGGTTCATAGGTTCATTATTTGCAAATTGTATATAAATTTAGTAGTAAATTTTTCATAAAATAGTCAACTTTTTCTATTTAAAAAGCAGATCATTATTATTTTTTATTTTTCTCAGTCTAACAGCCTTCAAATATATATTTTCTTTTTAAGAGTAGTTAAATTTAAGTTTCAACAAAATTTTCAATATTATAATATGTTATAGTATATAATATATAATTCTTCACCCAAAATGTCATGGGGCAAAATATACTTTCCTCCATTCAAATAATATATTGAGAAATGGATATAACTTTTCTTCTTCCAACATATTGTACACATTATAAATGTACTTTAAACTATAATATGTATAAAAAACAAGAATATAATCTACATGCTGTTAACAAAGCTTACTTCAGTTTTTCTTGAAGAAGAACAGAGTAACCGATATTTTGCTGAACATTATCTGTGAAATTCTTTAGCACATGGAGCCTTTGATTTAGATTTTGCTCAGCTGCTATTCTAAGGTTCGATTCTTGACTTAAAAGTGACTTCAACTAATAGAAAATAACTTTTATTTCATAAAAATAAAATAACTTTCACTTCATAAAATAACTTATTATAAGATATTTAAAAAAATAACATAATATAACAAAAACTCCCATAAAATGACCACTGTTAATCTTAAAGTGGCATCGATATATTCTCAGGCCACTATATCACATAGTCAAGCATGCATTTGGCTTAGAGATTAGAACTAAAATGATTCCATTTCGAGTACATAATAAAAATTGTACATGTTTCCATATGATTTTGACCTTCTGAGGAAATGGTTACTATACAAAACATGAAAACAGTATTGTTCAACATTAGTGTTCATTCAGGTTCTTAAAAATGTAATTCACTTTTGGAAGCTGATGGAGAGGTTCCTTTGTATATTTTGAAAAGACTTATTAAATATTTAAAAGTTTATATATCTATAAACAACGTGAATCATGTATTCTGTATATATAACATTGTAAAAACACAGGGAATTTTCAAGCTACTTTACACATACTAAATCTTATTAGGATGAACAAATAATCTCCTCTGTTATCGAATTCTTAAAACGAGAAAACTCAATTCCTAATAAGTACTTCATTTACATTTATAACATTACAAAGCTCAATGTATAATTTTTGACATATCAAGAAAATAATAATAATGATAAAAATATTAAAATACTGGTACAGTTCTCCCCCCCCCAAAAGCTCATTTTGTGTATAGTGATAATAAATGTCCACAACTGCATCAATTTTCATAACTTTAGGTGGAGACAGAATGCAACAAAAATATGAACTTTGCCAGTGAAGTTTTAAACATAGCCTCAAAAATATATTCTCACTTTTAAGCTCCAAATATATCAAATTTACTGTTAGTTCTAGTATTTGATAGTAACATTATGATTCAGTAATTGTACTTTTGACCAAAAAATAAAAATTAAGAATGAGCAGAAATTTTGAGAGGAAGATTAACCAATATTAATAAAAAAGTGTAATATTAAAGGATCCCAAACATACTATACTGGCCTAAACACAAAACTAGTGATACAATTGTTTATTCTTTAATAAGCTTTTCTAAAAATCAAAACCTGTTTCATACATGCGGCCTAGTATTCAAAATATGTAGGGTGTTTTTTAAAAAAAAGATAATTACAAGCTTTATTTCCTTAAATATTGATCCTAGACATGGATTTCCAATTTTAAAGTTTTTCAAGAAAAGCAGAGAATTTTATGGTAACAGTTTTAGAAACGCAAAATTTAACTTTTCACATGTTCTTAGGTAGAGGAGGGGGGAAATGTTCTTTATTTATAAAACTTTTTGTTAAATACTATTAAGTATTTGCATCAATAAAAATCTGACCTCTGGTTAATAAAAAATTAAATGTGACTTTTACATTACTTTCAGTATAACCTTCGTATTGTTTAATATTAGCTTTGCAGATGAACTTATCAGACAAAGACATGACAAATATTCTTAAAATTTTACATATGAATGCACAAACTGTTTTGTATTAAACATATGAAAGTATGATGAATATATAGCAGTTGAACATTTCCTTGTATGATAATCATTTAATGTATTTTAATTTTAATTCTAAGTACTGAAATTGTTTTCATAACATTTTCTACCTCATTCTGAGAAACTTTATAATAAGAAATACATGTTTAAGATTAATATTTAAAAAATTAAATCAGCAGCTACACTTTTTTTAATATTCCGTAGATGTGTCTGTAAATAACTGCTTTTTATTCTTCACAAAGTGTTTGAGCTTGCTTTACGTAGTGTGAAGAGCTTTAGCTGCATCATAGCATGCAATATTAAAAACAAGGAAATGAAATCGGAATTCTCAACTTCAACTGTTTTTTCAGTTTAAGTAACAAAGGCATTAAAACAAAAATAAGTAAGAAAAATCTTTAAGTAAGAGTGCTGAAAGTAAGTATCATAAGTGAGCTACAAAAAGCCAAGGGTAGAAAAGCTATAATATGAATTTTAAAGTGAGAGTAATACATAAAATGAAACAAATAAATAATACCCTTATTATTCAAAATATTTGCCACATTAAATGCAGAATCTTCAATAAAAAAGTACCAGTATATTAAGAGAGGCTAAGAATGAAAAAAAGTAATAACATTGATAGATTTGCTTAGAAATACCTCTATCAGAAATTTACCCTTTGAATGGCATTTTTTTTTTTTTTTTTTTTACTCACGAACAACTGGTTAAAAAAAAATTAGCTATATTTGTATAAGTACTTATTTTATTGCTTGTTTTTATAATTTTCTATTTATCGGAATAATATTTAGATCATTAAAGAATATAAGAAATATTTTAAATAACAAGTTAATACTGGGCAAAAATGTCCTGCCACTCAGGGGATAAACAAATGCATCGAATAAACTGTAAAATTTTTTTGAGATGAAAATGTTGCTCATTTTTCTGCTTAGTCAGTTGATAACATTAATCAAACATCAATATTTATGAAATGTCATCTAGTCATGGAGTAGATTCATGGGAAATGAAAATCATGCATTTTTTTAAAGTTAGGAATAACAACCGACTGAAGAAAGCTACCATCCCATTACTGCGGAAACATAAACATTTTTTTAAAGGAAAATAAGTAAAATGGAACAATTTTTAAAGATAAGAAAAGGAACTGATGACTGAAAAACTAATCACAGACTGATTGGTTTAAGCACATCATACACATCTGGATAAATTAACAACCTAAATATTTTATCACGTAAAAAGGTATTTATTGACTGCATACAGATTCATAATAGATTGAATGCATACCAGTCCAATGATAGGCTGATAAAATTTATTTTATCAAAGGAAACACTTCGGAGTTCTGGAACTTCTCCGCAAAAATAGTTGTACAACTCTTTATATTATCACAGAATATAATCAGCAGTTACATTTCAAACTACTATACACCACGAAGATGACATTTGTCCTAGTACATGTCATACGGAATTGAATGTCATTTCTGCAGAAATCAGTTACACTCGGCATACAAGGCCTGTTGTTCAGTGCATGTTACTTTCTTTTGTTACAAGATATTTTGAATAGCACAGTATTACATATAAACATTCATATAACATATTTCAATACTATATACAAGGGAAATTATATTGTATGTATACACATATATGCATTTGGCAGTGCATTAAATGAGTACTACATTTGGTGCATAAATAAGTCAAATGTGCTACATTTAAGTGATGACAATCAGTGTGGAAGAAAGATTTTTTACATTGCAGATATATATAAATGACATTATGCAATATTATTTCATGTGTTAAATTGGCATATTTACTATACTGGAATGAACACTTATATTACAAAAGTTAAATAACTGTATGTAACAATATATTACACTGGATGAGTACAAATATTTGCATATGTCAAGAAGTTGATTCGATGGAACAAAGATTTTTTATAACAAAAGAGTTAAATAAATATATATAAAAATTAAAAAAATATATATACAGTCAAAAGTCTTTAATCCGGACTCGTATGGACTTCGGCGATTCCGGATTATCGGTTTTTCTGGATTATAGATCATCAATTTAAATCTGGTAAGATGGCATGCAGAAATTATAAAATTAAAAATATGAAACCGTAAGTTATGAAATAAGGAGCAGTTATGATCTAAGGGATATCAAAATTTACAAAAAGAAGTTTAATATTTATTTGTTTACTTTATTAAACATTTCTTTCAATGCACGCATGCATAAAGCATATATAATGCATAGTTGAAATTAGAAAATTGCAACCAGAAAACTATTTGATGTGTATTTGTGATATTTATAATGACGAGGAATTTGATTTAAATCATATCAAAGACGGAGTACATCGAGATGAAATATTACATTTAGTAAAAAATAAGCCGAATAAAATAAAAACATCTGCCCTGAAGAAAAGGATAGTGCTGATGGATGACTTCCAGGTCATTGCGCAATGTGACGTCCCCCCCCCCCGACGAGCAGCGTGAAATTGATAAACAGATTTCGGAATGGTTAGAGAAACAAAGGATATGCCTTTATCCATTTTTTGGAGCAATTTCACTTTTTGTTTGATGGACATCGAAACATGCTTTCGCTTGTAGATCCTTTGACAGCTCTAGAATCGGAAATTCTTTTCGACATAATCAAAAGTTCATGCTTAATTTTATAAAATTGCTCTAACAGTCTGCAAAAAATAATAAGGCGGATCCAATTTGAAGATGAAGGAACAACACAATCTGCAACATTAACTGAAAGAGACAATTCGATAATTTTAGCTTATACCGTCCATTATACATTAAACGCGCATGCATAAACATATTATGCGCATGCATAAACACATTACACGTTTATGCATGCAGCTTTGAGGTCTGGATTATAGATCATTCCGGATTATGGACATCCGGATTAAAGACTTTTGATTGTATATAAAAAATTAAATACTTATATTACAAGAGCCGAAACTGTAATTTAGCTACTTGGAGAATGACTGCAATGAGAGCTGTTCCAGATTTCAAAATACTAAAAACATTAAGCACAAAACAACCGCATCTAAAAAGCGAAGCTAACCCAGATATATCTCAGCACTCTGAAATCCCGCTGAATTAACAATAACTAACAAATGACAGCAGATACTCTCTATGGTCTTATATAGTTATTACCCAGCCGCCGAGATATTTCTAGTACTTTCTGCTTCTCAAAATTACTGGAAGGCATATGAGAGCTGAGTTACGGTTACAACTACAGTGAGCATCAATTACAGTTATTCAATTACAATACCATTACAGTTTTACGGGGATCAGACCAACGAATTTAAAATCTGCTCATCATTCCAAAATGGCAGAAACTGACACCTATTTGAAAAAAGGAACTGTTGCATTAGTTGCATGAACATAAAATTATAAGGTTGAAGTGGAAGATGGGTATCATAATGGAGATCTTTACAGGAAGAGATGGCAAGGTAAGAGGCTGTGCTGTCCATTTGCCCAATGGCTATATGATTAAAAGAC